TATCACGCCTCTTTTTGAGGAATGAAAAACTAAAACACTCCGGTATAGACGCAGAAAGATCCGCTGCCTGCGGATCGGCCCGGTGACTGAAACTGCTTTTGGACGAGGGATGTGGGGTGAAAAGAGCAGGGATAACAAAATGCAGAGTGGGAACAACGCAAAAGGGGAAACAGGAGATACACCCTAGGGTCGCGCATGTGCACCCCCAAGTTTCCCTCTTGCCATTCTCCCTTCACCTCCCCAGCAGCCATTCTGACTCGCAGCCGCGAAACTTTACCCCGAAATTGTAACACGCCGTATTGCGTCCTATGAACCTTGTTTGCCTTCGATTTCACCTCATGTAAATCGAAATAGAGGAAAGAAATTATTAAAGATTTTATGGAAAAGAATTTTTACTATCCTCAACTAATTATGAATCAATAAAACAATAATATACTGCAAAATAAATTAATAAAAATCGATTTAATTATTTAGTTAATTTTCCAGAGAAATAAATTCGAGTAAACTTTTTTAACATCAGTGATAAAAAGTATTTTCAAAATACAAAAAATTCTTTAATTTTAAAAATTTGACGTTTATTTAGGTACTTACAATAAAATTGTATATAATACCATATTATATAATAATTAATTCAAAACAATGGAATTCAATAATTTATAATAGAGTCTAATATTAAATTGTAAATGTGTAATGGATGTTATTTTAAATTGAAAACAAATTTATTACGAATGCATATTTATTTACATACGTGCATTATGTGGAAACCAATAGCACGTTCGATTTAGTCAAACTCGCTTTATTTTGAAAACATTGCTAATAATAATATTATGTTCCACCGACCAATCCCACATCACTTCAAATATTGGATTTCTTATTGCAATTTTCATCCCTGCATGTCACTGGATCAATAAACTGTTTATAGGGTTATCAAATATAGAAAACAACATATTTATTCAATTTGCAGTTATTAAGAGGCAATATGAAAAATTAATTTAATTAAAACAAAAAGTAATACTTGCTTTATTTACTGTTTCGAGTTAAAACATAAAACAAAGTTGCTGATCCATCACATAAGTCAACTTTTTAAATTTCGCAGATAAAGTATAATTACCTAGTATCAACTTTTCATCATACAAAGTGCTTCAATATTTTTTCTGAAAAAAAACGTTTGAACGGATGACCATTATGTGCAGAACTTTTTTTTTAACTCTATTTCAGCAATGGAGATTTAAGCCAAATCGTTTCTCTAAATGTGCAAACGTACAAATGGATAGAATTGAGAATTATTTTTCTTGGAATATAACCCTATTTACTATAACGACTAAATTATTATTACGATTTCAATATTAAAATTAAAAGTGTCTAAATTAATTTAAAAATACCTAAATTAAAAACTTGAAGAATAATATTTTTCAGTAAGTTTCAAGTTTTAAGAAATTAAAAATTCTTTTATAAGATAGTTTTTAAAATTTTAGTATTTGATCTATATTTACTTTTGAGAGTTTGTTCAGTTTTTTATTTTCTATTTGGGTCAATAAAAAATTAAAACGAAATAACGTTTGAATGACACAAGGGATGAATAACATTTACGCAACCCTACTTGAAAATGTAGAGCGAGCAAGAGGTTGAAAGAAAGCTAAAAAATTATTGACTAGTAGCTACAGTTCTTTGAAGAAAAAAAAACATCGTCGTTCCTATGGGATCAAACTCCCCTTGCACCTGTCATAAAATCATATTTAATTTATGATCCTCTGCGGTTACACAATATAGCAGAAAATGTTCCCGTCTTCCTTCAGCAATATGAGAGTTAACTTCTTAAGACAACTTTCATCTTATAACAAAAAGAAAAGTCACAGTGTATATAAGATTCAAGTCGTTGTTTTGAAAAAATTCAATTTTTGAAATTATTTTTTAATTATAAAAACTCATTATCGTAGATTGTAATATAATCATTATGAAACTAAATAATTCTTACAGTTTTTTTTGTGTTTATCAAATTCAGACAAAAAACGTATCAAAATGTTGCTTCGCAACAACTTTGATACATTTTTTATCTGAATTTAAAAAACTCAAAATACTGATATTTTTAACATGCTATTAAAATATTTCCTTTAATTTTTTGTCCTAAATATTTGGTTTATAATTTTCAAAATATGTTTTAGATATTGTGTTAATTCTGTTAGTTTATGATTAATGATATTTATTTCATCACATATATCGAATTATAACGTCTAAAATTTCTGATAAAAATATGCCTTCAAGTACAAATAATGAAAATTAATTTCAATAATATATTTTGTTAATGATGTTAATTAACATAAATAATTACATCAATTTACAAATATTTTTTATTAATATGCAAATATACATTGAAAATAAATATGCATTAAATTTAAATAAATTATAATACAATAATTATGAACCATTATTATAAATTAAAGTAAAAATAATTAATATTGATTCAAACTATATTTCTCGGAAAAATTTAAAAAATGTATTTCTTCATGTTTTATAATAATTAAAGAGGACCACATATCATTATTAAAATAATTATTTGTGTTAAAATCATTATTTTATATTATAAGAATATTGTTACTCTAGCTTTTTAACAATTATTTTCATATTCTATTATTATCTAAAATTTAAACTAAAATTCATTTTCAAATCAATTTTGATTAGAAAATTCTACGAGAATTCAATTATTTAAATACAAAAGTAACTTATTTATTGAATAATTAAATGTTTCTTAAAATTTAATTCTTATAAAGAATTTAATTAACAAATTTTTAAATAATTGAATTCTTTTGACGAATTTTAATAAAAAATTTTAGAATATTAAAATTTTTCAAGGAATTCGATTAAAATTGTATTAAAAATAATTGAAATTCTGCCATGAGTTTTTTTATTTATGAAAATAATTGAATTATTGAGAAGAAACTTATAAAAAATTTTTAAATATTTTAATTTCTGTGAAATTTTTATTATAGGTATTTATGAAAATAATTAAATGTTTGCGTACAATTTTATTAAAATTGTTTTCAAAAAATTGAATTCTTTTGGATAATTTTATTAAAATAGTAGATATTGCAAAATCATTGAATTGTTGCTAGTTTACAATTAAAATTCTTCAAAAATTTGATTATTTTTATTTTTTTAAAATATCATACCTTTATAAACTGAAGAAAAAAACATGGACAGTTACGATTATTATAAAAAATTGAATTTTCGTATTCAAATAAAACTCTCGAAGAAGTTTCGGAAAATTATTTAAAATAATTGATTTAGAGATGAAGTTCAGTTGAAAATTATAGAAAATAATTGAGAATAATTGAAACAGTGACTGACTTTTTGCTATCAAATTAGTTATTTTTAACTAATATTCAAATTCAGAGATTTACTCATTTTCCGCAAAATTTTATATTTTTCTGTAAAAAAATGTTGTCAGGGAAAATAATTTTAATGTCAGTAAATTGTCAGGAAAATTGATAAACTGAAACTTGTGACCACCCTGGTATAGGAGAGAAATATAAATTAAAAATAGATGTAAAATATTGTAAGGAAATATAATTAAAAGATAGATACAAATTGTGTTGGGTAGATCAAAAGTTATTTAAAGTTTTATTGTCAGGTAAATATTTATTTCCTTGTTTATTAATTGAGGAAGAATAAATTTTGCTAAAAGCGAGGCTAAAAGTTTTTGAAAACTTGTAAAATAGAAAAAATAACGATATTTTGTACGTCACACACAATTCACGTTCGGTGATGTAAACGAGCGTTGGGAATCAAAGGATTTGTCTGGCCGTAATTGATTGGATTCATGTTAGCCGCGTGATAAATACGTTCTCGATCGGTCCACTTATCGAGGTTCTACCGTAAACCATGGCAGGATTTATTCAGGATTCCCAACAACAGAGACCTACGCGCTGTCAACGCTTCAACTAACAATAGAAACTCATCCTGCCTTTCTCTGTCAGACGATTGTTCAGCAGATGAGCGAGATAATCGTGATATAACCAGTGAAACACCAAGCACATAATAGTGATAATAGCAATGTTGAGCACTAAACATTTTACTTAATTCTTGCAGAAATCAACTGAAAAATGTCTGATTTTACATTATTTAGCATTGTTTCATCATATTTTATCAATTTCTCGAAAAATTTTCCTCCTAATCAAACGTTGATCGAAACCTGATCAAAGTCGCTCAGACTTTGGTCAACCAAATTTGCCAGGGATTTGGTCTAGTTTTTGACGCAAGGTATTATAGAAAAAAATATAATTGAACTTTTAGATAGCAGATGACGGGGCGTAAAGCTATTCCACATTTTCACAAGGAAAAAAAAGACGCACGGTCCTAGCGAAAACATGGACGCCATTTTCATACATGTCGAACAATTGCATGTCTTTACTCCCTTGTCGTCTGCTATCTGAAATTTTCGCTTTTGTGCCTCTGGAATGATAAACTAAATTTTTTCTATGTAATCTTAAATTGATAATTGAAGTAGCAATTTTTTATTTCAGTTTTTATTGCCGTAATTTCGTTTACCGTCTACTGCTGGCCGAGCAATCGACTTATACAAACGCACACCACATGCGTGCTTCTAGTTCTTGAATCAACTTTGTGATATTCAAGTTAATCCAGTGTCATCATCAGTGCAATGTGTGTTTTGCTTGAATTAAATTTCAATAAACGAATCATTCTAAAAAAATTAAATATTTTGAGAAAAGAAATGTGGAAAAATTCAAATTTTTCATAAAACAGTTTATTTTTTTAATGATTGCTTCTTTCAGAACAATACTTTTTTAATATTTCAAACATTTTTTCCAATAATTATTGTAATTTATTCAAAGAAATTATTAACATTTAATTATTCTCAATTTTAAAATATTATTCGTAGTTGATTATTTCCGTTTCAAAACACCGGGAAAAATTATATATTTAAAATACTTTTGTCCAGAATTTCATTTGACTAGGTTGGCACTGTAGTGACGCCGTCCAACTAGCAACCAACTTCACGCAATAGGTCCCAAGCCCCATTCCATTTTATGGACGACATGTTCAAAAATTTTCTTCTCCTGTCGCATTCTATCTTCATCCTCGAAATCCTCTTAAGTGTTAGTGTCTACAATAAAAAATTGTATTGAATTTTTATTGTGAATCAGTTATAAACTGATATTTAGTGAAATTAATGCTCATTACATGAAATATACGAAGTTGTGAGCGCGACAATTTTTGGAGACGCCACGGTTCATGGTTGGCAATAAAATCCAATGTGCTTGTCAATTTTTGAGTGTTTTTTGGGTGAAATAAGCATCTGCAGTACTCAGGAGCAAGGATTCTATCGATTTTTAACACGTGGTAAGAAATATTTTTCAGGATTGGTAAATATGGTTTCATTCCGGTGTGGCAAAAATTAGGTTAGGTTTCCTTCATTGGCCATGACAAAAGCACAGTGTTTGTGTTTTTGTCAAAGTTAGAATTTAACATTCAATAGTAATTTCATTTTGATTTTTCAATAATTATTAATATTTGATATAACAAGTCATACTTTAATCAATATTCTGTTTGAATTATATAATTGTTAAATATTTAAAAATTATTAGAAATAAAATTTCAGAAAATTTATTATTCATTAAAATAAAAATTTCTTCTTCAATTTAATGAATTTTTGAAAAAATTAATTTTTCAGAACAAAAAAAATTTCCCAATCGAAATAAATTATTATAATGAATAAACGAAAGATGAATAATACACTATATAAAAATTATTCATTAATTTAATTTGTATTAATTAAAAATATATAATTTCCTAATTATTTTGAAAAAATAGAATTGAATATATTTTTATAATTGTAAAAAATTTGTGAATTTTCCAAAATTTTTTGAAATTCTTTTCCAGTTGATTTACTTATATATTTCTTTTATTTTCATCAATAAAACTATTTTTCTGAATTTTTAAAATTCAAATGAACGAAGTATTTATTTTTGTGCTTTTATATTTTTTAAAAAATTACTAAACTAAAATAAAAATATTTGCAGTTGAACAAATGTTCAGTTGTAAAATGTGTTTTATTTAAAAAAGAAAGTAGTTGGATCATTTTGTTAAAAATTATTTTATTTACGAAAATCAATATTTTGTAAATAAAGTTGAAATTAATTAAAAGATGTAATAAAAATAGCGTCGTTCATTTGAAGGAATTCCAACACTGTAGGGAAATTAAAATTCGCTCCTAATCAGTATTCTGTTTGAAAATTTTTTTCTCGCAATTATTTAATTATTTATTTCAGTTTTACTACCGCAATTTTGTTTACCGTCTACTTTTGGAGCAAATGACTCTGATCATCTTTACCACATGCGTTGTTCAAATTCTGCAATTAACTTTAGGATATTTCAGTTGATCCAGTGTCACCATCAGTGTAAGGTATGTTGCTTAAATGTAGTCGCAACTAACAACTCTTTTTCGGAAATTAAATATTTTGGAAAATGAAATTTAAAAATTAATTTTGCAATAATTCAAATTTTTCATAAAATAGTTCATTTTTAAATGACTGCTTCCTTCAGATCAATACTTTTTGTAATATTTTAAACATTTTTTTTCAATAATTATTGCAATTTATTCAAAGAAATTATTAACATTTAATTAATTATTCGTATTGGATTATTTCCATTTCAAAACAGTCGGAAAAATTATTTATTTAAAATACCTTATTTTACGTGATGAAACTTTAACTTATTAAAATTTAGGATAAACTACATTCTTCATATTTAATCTTAAATTGATAATTGAAGTAGTAATTTCTTATTACAGTATTGCAGTCGCATTCTTGTTTACCGTCTACAGCTGTCCGAGCAATTGACTTCCGAACTCTACACCACATGCGTGCTTCCCGTTCTTGAATCAACTTTGTGATTCCAATTTGTAATCAGTGTCATCATCAGTGCAAGGTGTGTTTTTCTTGAATGTAATCGCAACTAACAACTCTTTTTCGGAAATTAAATATTTTGGAAAATAAAATTTTAAAAAATGCGAGAAAAATAAAAAATTCAAATTTTTCATAAAACAGTTTGTTTTTTTAATGATTGCTTCTTTCAGAACAATACTTTTTTTAATATTTTAAATATTTTCAATAATTATTGTAATTTATGCAAAGAAATTATTAACATTTGATTATACTCAATTTTAAAATATTATTCGTAGTTGATTATTTCGTTTCAAAACACTTTGAAAAATTATATAATTAAATACATTATTTTACTCGATGAAACTTTAGGTTTTTAAAATTTAGGATAAACTACATTCTTCCTATTTAATTTTAAATTGATAATTGAAGTAGCAATTTTTTATTTCAGTATTACCGTCGCAATTTCGTTTACCGTCTACCGCTGGTCGAACAATTGACTTCTGCAATCCACACCACATGCGTGCTTCCCGTTCTTGAATCAACTTTGTGATTCCAATTTGTAATCAGTGTCGTCATCAGTGCACGGTGTGTTTTGCTTGAATTCAATTTCAATAAACGAATCATTATAAAAAATCAAATATTTTCAGAAAAGAAATTGGAAAAAAAAATTTTGCAATAATTCAAGTTTTCATTAAAATAGTTTATTTCTTAAATGACTGCTTATGTGTGGCTTCGTCAAATGGTGCTTCCTTGGGGATTATTCCCTCATCGATGAGTCCCACGTTGAGAATATTTCGTTCACCATTGATGTCTCGCTCCCAGGTAGTGCGGCATTTGTTACACTGTCGAAATCTGTGTAGACTCTTGAATTTTATCACATCAAAGCAGCAGTTGCTGCACAGCGCAGTCGTGTGATACTCGTTTACTTTTACGAATTTTAAGCGTTTATCACCAAGTTGTTTTGCTCGATTAACAAACGTTCTCTTCAATTGGTTCAACGCTGTTACAACGTAGCCACGTGTAAAGTTTGGTAATGATGCTTTACCAAAAGCCACAAATCAAGGTTTTTCAAAAGTGTCTTCAATGAAGAAATTTACCAATTTTGCACATTCCTTCTGACGTGACACATATTTGTCCATTTTTAATCGCACCACACATTTTTGCTCGTGCAACTCTTGAAATCTTTGGAATAGATGCAGCTTATACTCGATGATTCTCTTGTAATCTCGCGGACTGGTATTTGAAAAATTGGCCATTTTTTCTCGATTTTCAAGCACGTACAGTTTGTAATATTTTTGAAGATCCAGACCAAATTCCTTTTTCCTTCCACTTCTTCTGAAATTATTCATCTGCCAACGAAAACTGCTGCTCTTTAAATAAATGTGATGATCCTTCAATTTGTTTTCCATTGACTGTTGTGCACCTCGAACTCTTCTTACACCGCCCAATGTCGCCTTCTTTTCGGGATCAAAACCATAAAAGACTTTGAAACGAGTTTCCAGAACAAGGTCTTCCTTTTTTCAACGGATTCCATTTTCAGAACATTAAATATTACTGAAGCATCGACGCCATTTGTCGTCATCACTTCAGCAAATGCACCATCTTTGCCCCTTTCCGTGCTGGAAATGTCAAAAATGTACTCCCATCTTTGAATTTTATTCTTGATTTGTAAAAATCGATTGATTTCTAATTCCTTGCAAGTTTTGGCCTCTTTGATTTGGCGTTTCTTCTGTTCAGAAGGAATTGACTGCTGCCTTATCTACAATTTTTTTTCACAAATACATCCTTATCGGCACCCCTCTTTAAGTCTTGCAGACATGTATTGGAATACAATACATGTGCAATGCCGAGTTGAGCTTGCGGTACAAGAACAAAATTGTGAATATTGTTATCGTGAAAATATTGTTGCATACGTAGCATGAATGGAATGAATTTTGTCCATTGAGAATTGCGATCATCGTCCTCGCCATCATCATTCACGTCTCGTTTCATGTCTCGAAAGTCCAACTCTTCTTGAGGATTCAGAAAATTATTATTAAATTCGGCAATGTCGCAAACATTTTTGATGAGAAGCTTTTCAACAACTTGAATAGCTTCTTCCCTCGTGCTAAGAGTGTTGCGAATCCTACTTGCAGAGCTCGACCACCTTATTTTTTTAGGCCATATCCTTTTTGTTCCCATGAGTTTTTGGATGTTTTCTTCTTTTTCGAGTTTTTCTCTTTGAAAAAACTTTCTCACGATGTGAATTGTCTCTGGCACAATGTTCTCTTCTTTCTTGAATTTTCAAAATTGAAATTTTTTTGGCAGTCCTACGATGATTTTCTTTTCTCGATGCTGCTGCTGCTTCAATCTTTTTTAGCTTGCGACGTCTTGCTTTGAATTTTTTGCGATTCTTTCGCTTCTTTTTATTACGTCTCTCTTGTTTTGCCATTTTTAAAATTCTCTCAGCTTCCGCATCATCATCATCAAGAGCATCCTTCACAATTTTCTCTTCTTTCGCGTCATCGGCAGCAGCAGGGTTTGAAGCATTATCTTTAGATGACAAAAGATGTTTAACCAATCTCGTCAATCTAGTTTCGAAATGTTTCAAGAAACTTGTTTTAAATTCCCGATTCATTTTACGGGCTTCTTCTTGAATAATGAACGTACGATATTCACAATCGTAAAGTGGCATATTGCCACGTGTCATTTTATATTCTTCGATTAGCGCTACAAACTGAGGATTTCGAACAACTTGAGTATTTATTTTTTTTTAACGCAACAAAGAGTTCTAAATAATTGGGACCATCGTTCGTCCACTTGTCAAGCAAATAATGATTTGTATCATGACAAAGAAACTGCAACGCCATCAAGGAGACTTCTATTCTCATTCTGGAAACTATTTTTGCATTTTTAATTATTCTCTCCTTTACGTCATTTGATTTACATATGGTGCCCAAAAATATTTTGACAGTCGACTTTCGAGTTCCCAATCGTTTGAGTCGCTTCCTTTTTCTTTTATCCATAGGAGGTTCTTTATCTTCCTCACTGTTTGCCGTCCTCTTTTTAGTAATTTTCTTTTTATTCTTTTCCAAAGAATCATCTTTCTTAGTCTTCTTTAAATTGGTATCCTTCTTATCTTTATCGGCACGACGTCGTTTCGCATTTTCCTTATTTTTATTCGTGCTATTCCCACATGCGGCAGTAGCAGGACATTTTGAAGAATTAGAAGTATTATTTAAAGAAGTACACGGAAAAGTTTTGGGGCGAGCAACTCTATTTGCTCTAGTAACGCTGCGCAACTTCACTTTGGTGCAGCAATAGTCGCAAAAAGATAGCGCAGCAGGCCAGCATTGGACGAGCTGCTCTACCAGTCGTGTATCTACCACTGACTTTCAGCGCAGCTCGTCCAACACTAGGTGAGCAACGTTCCCAGTAGAGAGAGAAGCTCACCCATTTACAAGGCGATATGCCTTCTCTCTTTTAGAAAACCTTCTCTACGCGCGGAGAACGCAGCTCGCCCGAAAACTTTTCCGTGTAGATGAAGAAGGTAGAAAATCTTGTAATGTTATTGGCTGCCTCTTTGGTTTCATTTTTTTGTCTCCAGACAAATACTCCAGACCGAAAAGAAAATTTAAAAATTTTAATCTTATTTAAAATTAAGAAATTTTAACCCTGAAATTTCTTTGAATAAATTACAATAATTATTTTAAAAAATGTTTAAATTCTTTAAAAAGTATTGTTCTGAAATAAGCAGTCATTAAAGAAATAAACTATTTTAATGAAAATTTGAATTATTGGAATTTTTTTTTTCAATTTCTTTTCTGAAAATATTTGATTTTTTAAAATGATTCGTTTATTAAAATTGAATGAGGATGAGTTTCTATTGTTAGTTGAAGCATTGACAGCGCGTAAGTCTCTGTTGTAGGGAATCCTGAATAACTTTTGATCTACCCAACACAATTTTTATCTATCTTTTAATTATATTTCCTTGTAATAGTTTACATCCATTTTTAATTCATATTTCTTTCTTATACCAGGGTGGTCACAAGTTTCAGTTTATCAATTTCCCTGAAAATTTACTGAAATTAAAATAAAAAAAAAATTAACGTCAAATCTGACGATTTTCCAAATAACAATATTGAAAATCGTTAGCTTTGACGTTGTAAACTTTAGTTGAATTTTTGTACAGAAAAATATGAAATTTAATAGATTAATAATTGTAACTCTGCTTTAGATATGGTAAAATTGAATTATCAAAGACACAGAGCGAAAATTAGTTTTATTAATAATTCTTGTCACTTTTTTCAAACTGTAATAACTTTCTAGACAAGAAATAGCATCGTTTGGATAATAATCTTAATAGATTTTCAGAAAAAAAAATTGTCATAAAAAATAGGATATATTTATACTTAAGTGTGAACAAAGCTTTTAACGAGCATAGCGTTAAATTTTCGACTGATCAAATAAAATGAAAGTGATGTAAAAAAATTTAATAGAGGCAGCTTAAAAAGGCTTTTTAGCTCGCGGCTATTTTAACCGTATGCATATTTTCAACGTACTTTTGTAATTGCAATTGGCAAAGAATAATTAAAATTTGTTCGCATTTACACTGCCTACTCTGCTTTGCAAGATTATTATTAACTTAAATAAAATGATTTTTCTCAAATAACTCTGAAATTCATCAAAGAGAGACAAATTTAGGGTCAAGATGTTTGTCTGGCTGTTTAGTTCAGTAACAGATTAAAGAAAAACTATGTTTTAAGGAAAACCATTCAATCATGTAATTAATAATTTTTTATAAAGATGTGCGTAAAAATACATAAATTAACATGAATTATAAGCTGGTCAATTTACCGGACAGCTTTTGACTGCCGGAAATACGAATACTATACAATTATAGTATTTGTATTTGTTTTTCTGGCTAACGACCGACAGTGATGCAAGTTGCGATGAAATTAATTCTGTTGGACGTTTGCAGGGGTTACCCACTGTACAAGAATATTTACGACACAAAATGTGCACACTCGATCCGCAATTGCCGTTTTATTTAACCAACGAGTGACTAATATCCCCAACCAGAAAATCGATTTTCTCGATAAATATTGTGTTTTGCAATTCGGAAAAGGACACCTGAGAATCCGGTCTCGATGTTAATTCATTTTATTTATTTCATTATTGGCTAATTTTTGCCATTTTTCTCCATATTTCAAATTTCTTTATTTTTATCCTAATATTTTCTTAAAAACAATTTTATCTAAAATTGGCTAAAAACCAAAATATGGGCACTGTATTTCTTATTAATATTTTTAATCAAGTTTCGGCAAACCCTCCAAAAACTGTTTATCCAATATCCACGTTAAAATAGATAACATAGGATACAGATCTAAAAGTTTTGAAGACAAAAGAGAAAATGGATCTTTGCGAAACAGTTGTATCGTGAACGATAAGCGGAAAGATTTAATAGCTTTTAGTAGTTACTGCGCTGAAAGTTTACTTTATTGATAGAATATTTCGTAAAAAAGGTCCAAGTCGCTATATTCCCTAAGGCTTCGAAAGCAAGGAAGTCACTTAAATACCGTGATTTTCCGATCGCGTGACTCGCCCCTTCCTATTCACGATAAGATTCAATTACCCCAAGATAGTAACGACTTCCATTATTGAAATTCGTTTCGGGATTGTCTTAGGCAAAAACCTAACCACGTCGGTA